CAAAAACCATTTGTTTCTTGATGACCTCTCTGATGTAAATGAACAACTTTAACCATTATTGACAATTATTGCAGAAAAATACATTTAGCTTGCTTGGAATACAAGATTTGATAGTTATAAGAAAATAAGTGTTTAAATTACTTTATGAAAATGAACAGTCAGCTTTTTAGTGATTTTTTTTGTAGTTTATTTTATTGTAGTTAATGTTTATTGTGGCTTGTAAACAGTAGGTTAATTTATCGTGGTAAAGTTATTTTGATGTAGTTGTTTAATTATTGATTTTTCTTTTGATGTACCATTAACGTGCGTGATGTGTTCCACAAAAATGCTTTCGAATAAACACAAAACTTCTTCGGAATTCACCGTGTAAATTAGAAAATTTATTATCATGAAGTACATGTATACAGTTGTTTCCTTGTTTTGAATTTATAATGAAAACTGTTTGGATTATAATTGAAACTGTTCATTGAATAATAGCTAGTATCTTAATAATTATCTACAAGAATGTAGTAATACTTTTACTTGTGGATATGCCAATACTGACATATACATGTCCATGTGCATATTCTCTTTTCTAGGTGGCATATCAGACTTCGGTAGTCCCATTGTTCCACTTGCTTCTTGTTGGCCTGAACAAGGGCCATGCCCCGAGCAGGCAAAGTTCGAATTATTGTTTTAATAAGCAGTAAAAAGAGCTCTTACAGAACGATTCAAGTAATAATGTATTAATACACAGGCCTATTTTGCAGGCTAATTAAATTTCCTTATACCACCTATCAACAAATTAATTTTTGATTTTTTTTCAAGAGCGAAAAACTGATCCCCATCAATTGTTAATTCCCCAGACTCACCAACCCACCAAAACATTTCTGAAGTTCGGTTTTCTTTTTGAAAACAGCATGGAGAGGAAAAACAATAACAATGTTTATTGTCTACTTTCTTAATTTCAGCGAATGGCGCCATCTCTTGAAAAAAAAAATTCTTCTCTCGGTAGATAGAGAGTCATTTTCTTGTAGAGTGATGAGTGTGTATGGCGAGTCCCAGCTGTCTTAAGCCTACAAAAAATATTATATTATTTATGTTTGCTATTATATTATTTACATTTGTTATTATATTATTTACGTTTATTATTATATTATTAAAATTTATATTATATTATATTATATATTTTTATTATTATATTGTTTATGCCTATTAGTATATTATGTTTATTATTATATTATTTATGTTTATTATTATATTATATATGTTTATTATTATATTATATGTGTTTATTATTATATTATACACGTTTATTATTATATTATGTACGTTTAGTATTATATTAAATATGTTTATTGTTATATTATTTACATTTAGTATTATATTATGTACGTTATTATTATATTACATACGTTTATTATATTATTTACATTAAGTAATATATCAGGTACGTTATTATTATATTACGTACGTTTATTATTATATTGTATACGTTTGTTACTATATTATATATGTTTAGTATTATACTACTGTCTCTTATACACATCT